TGAAAAATCTGATCATTATCTAATTGATTTCCACTTTTTACTCTTCCCACACAATTAAAAAAAAAAAAAAGGAACATTTAAATCGATTCACAAAACAATTTAAATGGTATTAATTTATACGATACTTTTTATTGCTATTTAATTCCAAGGGTAAAACGTTTTATTTAATTTATGCTTATGCATAATTCATACCATCGAGGGTTGGAATAAACTACATTTAATCGAAAATCCATTTTTCACGTAAATCTACATATATCTTGAAGTTACATCGAAGAAACTGTTAATCGGTAATCGATGAGTGGCATCGAGCAGTATGCACATAGTAATATACGCGAAAATAAAATGCAAAGAATCTAGAGATCCCTAATTGCGTAGAAAACAAAGATTAGCAAATTGTTTGAAATTCATAGACAGGGAACAAGCAAGATAAATGAGGAAAAAATCAGGATTGTTCATGGATTTTCGAGCTGATCCAATGATTGCTGCTCGTATCATTTGAAATAACAATAAATACGAAACAAATTACCGACTGTCGATATGCGATCGTTGTCTGATTCGTCGGTTCAATTGTTCAGAATGATTTGTTGCGCATGTATAGATCTCGATGTCTACATGTTTCGCGTGTTCATAGTGGAGGTTTCACGCGTAACTTGCCAGATATTTGGAATAACATTTTAATCTATTGATCAATAATTCGTGGGAAGTTTAACATTGTCAACAATATTCGTTACAAATGTATTGGTGTATCAGTTTTTATTGAAGTGAAGCTTTGCAGTAAATAATTGAAATAAACAATTGAATGATAATTATTTAATAAAGTAAATAATAAGAACGAAAATCTTTTTGTGTTGTTTGTAATTTTTGATAATTAAGGAAATTTTTGTTATAATTGTATTAGTATTTTTTAGTAATTTTTTAATAAATTGAAACTTTGCAGATTAGATAATTGAATTATGATTGTTTAACAAGAAATACGAGTTTTCTTATGTTATTCATAATTTTTGATAATTAAGAAAAATTTATAGAATTATTTAATTTTTAAGAGATCATCAAAAGAAATTATGGAAATAATATCTATTAAGGAATGAAATTTCATTTATTTTAGCTTTTAAGTTTTATTGATGAAATCTAAAGATCAAGAATTATTTTTAAATATTGTAAGACATTCAAATATTATATATTATTATTCTCATTAACTTTTTACATCTTTTATAAGCAATCATTTCTTTTTGTTATAATTTCTCAAAAATCTGGCAAACTTTCTAGGATATTTATGAAGTTTTTTTATTATACAATTGATTATCCATAAATGTTAAATCAGATAAATTTATCAATAAAAGATAAAAAAATCATCTCGAAATTCAAAAATGAAATTTTGTTTCAAATATTTAGTTATTTTAATCAATATTGTATTCACAATCGAAATAAAAATTTAAACGAAATGTCAATTTGCTTTAATATAAATTCAATCAAAAATCATCAAAAAATTAAAATTTCATAAATAACATCTCACATATTTATATACGAAATAATTGGACATATGAAATATAATTACAAGTTTTTCCGCTTAAATATTCTCTGTAGATACAAACTCGTTTCTAGGATCATTCTAATTTGATCCACCCCATCGGGATGGTTTATGGCTTTATATCATTAAATTACATATTCCTCGAAATGTCAGGCTCTTCTCACTTTCCATAGCTGAGAATCGTGGCTCGATTCTTCTCTCTGTTCCATTTTCATTATCTCCCGTCCGTTTCACATTGCTCGCACACAGAGGTACGACATGTGCCACGAAAACTCATTTGACCCCGTGCCCAAACACCGCAGTTGCGATCTGTAAGGGGAAGAGAAGAGAAAAAAAAAGTACCCTGTATCGTTGACTCGCATCCGAACGAACGTGACGTGTGCACAGATAAGACGTACGGTTAGATTGAGGTCCACGATACTTCTCATGTTTGACTAGTGATGCAAAATGAGGCGTGGAATACATCGAGGGTTAAAAGTTGGTAGGATAAGAAAGGGCCCAGGGAGAAATATGTTCTTTGAAAATGGAAAAATACTGGGGGGGGGGGGGGGAGGAGAAAGGTGTTACTTAAGGAAATGACGTGAATAATAACTGCAGGGGGAGGGAAGGTGAAAGGATCTATTGCACGAACTGATAGGGAGAGAAAAGTGTTTCTAGGATAATAAAATGAATGATAAAATGCTAACTTTTGTGTTGTTGATGATATTGGTAATTATAGGGTATGCTATTTAAATCGATCTATCTGAATATCTTGTTATCAGTCATCAGTGTTGCCTAATGTTTTTTGAGATACAATTCTGTTTTGTAATAGACAAAGTAATTTGCTAGATTTTCTCTTTTTTATAATTGTATAAAATTTTATTTTTTTTATAATAGGTTAAATAAATATACAATACGGCGGGAATTAAAAACAAATATTGAAAATCTGTAGAAAGAATAATACGTGTATATTTAATATATCTATGTCATGAGAGTTTTTAAGATTTTTTTCGTTATAGTGAATTGTTTATATTTATTGTATTTTTAAATAATTATTTTGAAATAAATTTAAACGCTGAAAATTTCTATTTTAAAGTTTTCTATATTATTAAATAATTACATGTAAAAATAACTTGAAAAAATCTTCGATCTTCTTGGAAGTTACAATCCAAAGGTTGGAAGTTCATGCTGTACTGGAAAATTTTTCAAATAAAAATTGAATAATTATATAGGATATAATATATATAATATATTATAATTTGTATATATAATATTTATATTTACAATATATTATAATTTAACTTGTTTAAATAGAAATATAAAAGATATTTTTTAAATAAATAATTACTATAAATAACTTATTAATTTTTTTGTTAATATGTCAATACGAAAATACATATTTTCATTAAAAAAAAATTAATCTTCACATATGTATTAATATTTTATATATTTTTACTAATAATAAAAAAAAACCATTCAATTATTGTCCGAAATATTTTTAAATATTACATTATAATATCAATTCAAATGGAACATTCCATTGTTTAAAGAAAATATAATAAATATTTAAAAAAAATATTTGAACATTGTAGTACAATATAAAAAGCATATTAAGCAAGATTGAAAAGAATTGTGTGAGTCGAATAAAATGGGAGTTAAACTGTATCCTCTTGAAAGAATAGAATTATCATACATATATTCCATTGTGATACATATAAATTCATTCATCTTTATTATAAGACTAAAATATTGTGAAAGTAAAAAACTTTCTTATAGTAACACTATAATAACAATAGTTATACGGAATATTTTTTTGTCAAATTTTAATGTATATGAAAAACAAAATTTTTTATTAAAATAATATAGAAAATGTTTATGAGATTGCTTATTGAATAAAAATAACAAAAATTTAAAGTGTTTTTGTTATATATTATAGTTTTGTATATATTATAATTTCATGCTTTGATATAATTTAGAATAATGTGGTCAATCTCTACAATAAATTTTTTTTCATATTACAGAAAATTACGAAGGTCAAGAGAATGAAATGCATAATTGTCGCGTGTCACATGAATGCAAAAATTTAATTTACGATTTTATTGCAAAAACAATTGCACGATGAAAAAGTATTTGTATAAATTTTTTTGAATATATTTTATTTAAGCGATTTTTTTATTTGATATATATGTAATATATTAATGTTTAATACAGATATACACAAATTTTATTTTTCTTTATTTATCTTATATATAAATCTATTTTATAAGCAATTATATATGTAAATTTAATAATCTTGAATTTTTATATATTATTTTTAATCATAGAAATAATTATATTTAAATAATTATACTTAATTAACTTACATTTAAATTAATTTAAATCAAAAATTCTATTCCATATTATTTATAATATATTAATAATATTAAAAAAAATTCTGCTTAAAATAACAATGTTAAATAATTTTTTTTTAAAAACATGAATTATATTTTATTTCTATTTCTAACATGGGACCTAAATATTATTCTTTTAGTAAATTATAAAGTCGAATAGTCTTCAATCTTCAAACATTCCTTTCAACATAAATGAATATCAATTTAGATGAAAATCAATAATAAAAGGATGCAGCGATTTCAATAGCATTCGCAAACGAATTCATTTCAATTCGGTATCTTTATCTGGTTTATATATTTGCTCTTGGGGACAAGCCACTGCTAAAAGAGATATTTCTCTCTACTATTTGAAATAATTCCAATTAGCCTGACCTATTATAATCCTGTTCACGAAAATTATTTCATGTAAAGAATAATGCGACTGAATTAATTCTTGTAATATAAGTTTACTTGCAAGATATATCTACTAATTTGCAGTTAATTAATTTTTCGAGTATCAAATTTTATAAAAAGAAAAATTCTTTTTTATCAATTATTTATGATAAAAGCATTCTTTTATAATATATTTTCTTCAGCAAAGAAAATATAAACAAAAAATATATTCATTGAAAAAAGATATATTTACTATTTAACTAAAATATATATCTTATATATTATATATATTAATCCATGTGTCCAAGTATCCAGTATAAAATTTTATATCTATTTTTCATAATTATTATTAAGGATTTTTGTTAAGAATAGAATATTTGTTAAGGATTTACATTTCAAATTTAAGAATTATTATTAAGAGAGAGAAAAAGAGAGAAATAAAGAGAATTAAAATTGAAAATTTAATAATGCTATTTTTGGATATTGATATAATCTTTAATCTTTCTTTAATCTTTCTTTAATTATAAAATATATTATGAATATTAAAATGAATAAAATTATTAAAAATATTAAAAATACAAAATTATTTGAAATATTTAATTTAAGAGTAAAATATATTACTACAGTAATTATTGTATTCTTTTCAGAATGCTCAAGAGGTGATTGGTTATTAAAGTGAAGGTGTCAGTGGTTTTGAAAGTTACTGCCATCGCAATTTTTCGCCTAGTGAAATGGAGATAAATGGGACAGACAGCAGCCTAAATGGCACCGAAGCTAATCGCACTACTTCTCCTGTCTTCATTATTAGCACGCGTTATATGACACAATGGTGAGTATATTTATAACTTTATACTGTATATGTTATATCCTACTTTCAATTAAAGGAAAGATATATATATATATAATATATAATATAATATATAATATATAATTAAAAATCAAATACAAAAATCACAAAACGAAGACATATAATATATATATAACTAAAAATTTTCTATTCTTAATGATTAAAATAATAACTCGTATAATATTTGATATTTTAAAAAATGAGAGTAGAAAAAAAGCAAAAAAAAATAAAAAATAAAAATTGCTCGCGTTTTAAACTCGCTTTTGAAATGTTAAATTGCAACTACTTATATTCTATGTATAAAATTCGGTGAGAACTGCATAATTAAAAAAGTATGTATAGCGTATAACTCTATAATATGTTATAAAGGAAATTAGGTTTAAAAGCTTGAAAATATTTTCAACCTTGCAATGGAAATTTAAAAATTTTTTTAAATTATCAGAATATTCAAAAAATAAGTTATAATAAACTCAAATAAAATTTTATTGCAATATAACATAGAAGTTATATTTTTAATAAATATTGTAATAATATTCAAATATTATTAAAATTATATGATTAATTTAATATTGAGAATTATTTAAATGTATTATATTTCTAATACTGCCTCTAAATATATAAAATTTCTGTCAAATTAATTTTAATGCTGCTAAAGATTAAATTTTAAAGATTTAATTTTAATTTAAAATTTTAATTTCTTGTTTTCTAAAACATATTTTCCATTGATTAAATTTAAATATTATTTCTATTTTTATTTAATTATGATATATTTTCTTTCAATCTCCTATATTCATTGAGATTTTACAATAAATAGATGAAATAATATTCATATATTAATTAATTTTTTTCTTTAAATTATTATTATTTAATTATTATTTAATTATCGATATTACTTAAATTATTACTTAAATTATATTAATAAGAATTTGTTAAAAGTAAAAAGCAAATTATTATATATTATCAAAAAATTTATTGATAAAATTCAAATTTTAATTTATCTAAAACACTATTTCACGTAAAACGAACATTTTATTCGCTATTAAGTATCATAAACAACACAAAAAAATTTTGTCCTTATCCTTTTATCTTAAATGTATACTCATTATATTCCTAATGCAAATTTGCAAAGCTAAAAGATAATAGATTCGAAGATAGAGAGCGATACTCAACTACAAACTCTTTTTTAATATCGTTTCAATATTGTTTATCAACACAAAATATCACACATGGTATAGTCAGATTCTTATCTAGTCGAAGAATCACCTAAGTTAAATTGTATTTGTGTCTATATTGAATGATAATAAAATTATATATATAATGGTACTATCAAATTTATTCAAATAGATATTTGATATGTATTTTTTTAAACTTTTTTTTTTATTATCTGATCTAATTTTCTTTTTGAGCTTATAAATCAATTATTTTCAACCTATGAATCGATAATTTTTTCAAATTCCATTAGAAATATTTCAATTTAATATTTACGTATGATTAAATTAATTATATTTAATTAATTATATTTAATTTCATGTGATAATAAATTTTAAATCTATTTTATTTTTTTATAAAATTTTTATAAAAACATCTCACTATTAGTAATAACATTTTACAGCTAGATATTCGTAGCGATTCCAATCTTCCTGCATCAAGTAGCGACGACGTGTATTTATGGAATAATCATCTTCGGTTATTTACTTCGCTCACTAGCAAGTATCTAGTACTTAGTACACGCGAAATTTTCGAACTGTTTCGCTTAAAGATATGAAGTTACGGAGCAATTTAGCAAGAGGTACGAGAAGAGGTATTTATAAATCTGAATTATGTTCTGAAATGGGTATGAAAGAAATGTTGACCTACATTTTCTTTAACATTAATACGCTATTAGGACTTATTAAATGATCTCGATCTTGATGCTCGGTTTATCATGATGTAACATTCAACGAATTTTAGCAGAGAATTTTAAAAAAAATTTTGAATTTTTTCTCGTTTTAAATTATGATTTAATTTTAATTTAATATTTCTTTAATTTTCTTTATGATAAGATATCTAAAATATTAATCATTGTCTTTTTACGTAATTCCTATATTCCTATACAAATCAATTTCATATTAGTTGGAAATTTTATTTTTGTAATTTTGTAAAAATGTAATTGTGTTAATAAATATTTTCTTGGACTAATGTATTGTAGATAGAAATATTTATGTATTACAAAAGAGCTTACAATTTACATTATTTTTTTCATTTACAGCTAATTAAACTAATATTGTTAGTAAAATTTTACAAATTTCTAGTACTATAAATTTGTTTTTTTCTTTCTATTATGATTCTTCTATTTTTTAACAAGAAAAAAAATATATTTTATCATTTAAAACTTACTACTTATCAGCGTTAATAATTCACATTTACAAATTTCATAATAAAAAAAAGTTTTTCGTATAAATTTTAAATTAACTTTAAATTAACTCTGCAATAAATTACAAAATATTTAATCGTCTGTAACAATATTACAAATTAATTATGTTATCTTACATGGTTAAGGCGATAAAATTGGAAAAATACAATACACGAATCACAAATTGAAAATTGTACATACATAATTTGCCATTTCTTCATTTTTCGAACTTCTAATTTTGACACGTGATCTATCGTTGCTTCCTCAAAATGTTCATTATTCAAGATTAATAGCGTCATGTGGTTTCTCTCGTACAGCCGATATTGGTTGTTCGTGGAGATGGTTAGAAAACACCAAGGTTGGAGGAAATGAATTTTCTTGGGGACCAAAACGAAGGCAAAAATTTCTTGAGGGTCTTGTTCCTTTTCGAGACACCATTGTTCCTCTGGTCGCGCTTAATGAGTACAGCTGTGCATGCGGTAAATGGAGTATTCGTTTGCCTCTTGTTGCTGTTAAAAGATTTCTAGAACGATGCATCCTTTTTGATATGAGAGTAATATATCTCTGAATATTTTACGTTCATTCGCCAATATATCTTATATTTTTTTAAAATAAAATTTGAACAAAATATTTTTGTATACAGAAGAAATTTCCATTATCCGAGTTAATAGTGTTTGGATAAGAAAAGCTTTGGATAATGGAACAGATTTTTTTTTTTAGATAAATTATTCTATTATTTTGAGGGAAATATTAATCTGATTTTAATAATACACTTATTTGCAACGAAATTGAGATAATTATATATATAAAAATATATTATTTTATTATAAATACTTAGAAATTTAATACTTTTTTATCTGCTTAATTATAAAAAAAAATTTTTTTAATGTAAAAAGTTAAATAGTATTTATTCTGAGGTTTGTATCATAAAAGTTCTTTTTTTAGCGTCTTGAATGATTTCATTTGAGAAGATTCCTGAAAAGGAAATATCGAAGTAAATTTCAATTTCTTTTCAATAGTGTCTAAAATTAATTTCAAATTAAATTCTATTTTCATTGTTAAAAAAAGTCACTATACTGGATAAATGTAATATTCAGTTCAAATAATAAAATGTTTAATAAAATGTTCAAATAATAAAGATTTTATCCATAATTGTTTCATTTTTATTTTCATAAATTTTCGATTATTATTGCAATAATTACTTAACGAAGAAAATTATTCTTTTTTTTCTTTGATTAAAATAAAAAAAAAATTTTTTAAAAATCTTTTTTTTTCTTTATAACATAATGAATAATTAATATTTCTTGATTAAACTAAAATATAAAGCTTGCAAATATAATTACTATAAAAGCATCATGCCAAAAGATAAATACATGTATCATCATTTATAATTATTAAATAAAATAAATTATTATAAAATCTACTCATGTAAATACATTACCATTTTAGGTAGAATTTAAAAGAAAAATAATAAATATCTTTTTTTTATCATCTTGTGTACTTACTTTCCAAATTATGATAACACCGTTGTATATCCAAATTTCTTGTGTAAATATTAACAGGGCTTAGCAAGTTTAAAATTTTACACCAGAGATTCGCTTTGTCAGTCTGCTGTGGTCTGATAGGACACATATACGGGTGAATTGCAAACAGATACGTACAACGAACGTTCGTTTCAAAGGACGGCCTCTGCGTTTTCCGATAATGCAAGCGGTGTACCTGTGAAAGGCAATTACTATCGAGAACAATTTCTTTTAAAGGGGATACTTGGCCAGAATATTTTCTCCCTTCTTTTTCTTTTTTTATTTTTTTTTTATTTTTATTTTTTTTTTATTTTTATTTTTTTCTAATAAACAAACGATATCAAGCAAGAAATAGATTAGCTTTTCAAAGTCTCGCAGCACAACTATTTTACCTGTCTCTTATATATATGTATAATTATATAGAAAAAGGGACTATAAATTTATATATTTATATTATGAATATTATACGTGTATGGCATATCTCTCCACTGAGACGAATAAATGCTATTTTTAATCACTCTTTTATTCCCTTGACCGAGATAGGTTAAATGTATTGGAACTTTTCTGGAGCGAATATTTCAAATGCAAGATTGCATTCCAATTAATATAAACGAGTAAACGAAATCGGATTCCATGAAATTCTAGAAAATTGTATCGCGATGCTCGAGTTATGCTGCTTCATTTACAGTTACTTACATTTATTTTTTATGGTATTATTCATATTTTGAATCTTTCTTCACCTCTACAAGGTGAACAGAAATGATCGATCATTCGAGATATCTTTCTAACTTACTTTTTCTTTCCTAATAGTTTGTTTATTAAATTTACATATTATTTATTTATTTGTGATACGACGAATTGTAGTCGTGATGATTCGATTTTTAAAAATTTGTTATAAATTTATTTTTTTATATAAATGCAATCGAGCTTTTTGAACAATTTACTTGCATGTAATGCGTGAACACATTCTGTTTAATTTTGCATATCGTCTGCGGTTTGGAGCAAATTTAAACATTTATATATCGCGGCTTCTGCGAGTTTAATTGAAAGGAGAGGAAATTAGTCAA